CTGCATCTATTGAGATAATCATATGGTTTTTCTTCTGCAGTTTGTGTGATGTATCACATTGATTGATTTGCAAATGTTCAACCATCCCTGGGATGCCAAGGATAAATCCCACTTGGTCTGGGTGGATGATCTTTCTGATGTGTTATTGGATTCAATTGCCCAGAATTTTGTTGAGGATTTTTGCGTCTATGTTCATCAGGGAAATTGGTCTGTAATTCTCTTTCAATGCTGCATCTTTTTCCGGCTTAGGAATTAAGGTGATGCTGGCTTCATAGAAAGAATTTGGGAGGATTCCCTCTTTTGCGATTGTTCTGAATAGTTTGAGAAGAATTGGAGTTAGTTCTTCTTTAAATGTCTGGTAGAATTCAGCAGTGAATCCATCTGGTCCTGGGCTTTTCTTTGTTGGGAGGGCCTTTAATACTGTTTCAATTTCTGTCTCAGTTATGGGTCTGTTTAGGTTTTCGATGTCTTCCTGGTTCAATTTAGGTAGGTTGCATGTGTCCAGGAATCTATCCGTTTCTGATAGGTTTCCCTGTTTGCTGGCATACAAGTCCTTGTAGTAATTTCTGATGATTCTTTTTATTTCTGTGGTGTCTGTTGTTACGTTTCCTTCTTCATTTCTGATTTTATTGATTTGGGTCTTTTCTCTTCTTTTTTTAGTTAGTTGGGCCAATGGGGTGTCAATTTTGTTTATTTTTTCAAAAAACCAGCTCCTCGTTTGGCTCATTTTTTGTAATTTTTTTTTTGGATTCAATCCTGTTGATTTCTTCTCTGATTTTAATTATTTCTCTTCTACTAGATTTGGGTCTGGTTTGCTGCAGATTTTCTAGATCCTTGAGATGCATTGAAAGCTCATTTATTTGGTGCCTTTCCAATTTCTTGATGTAGGCATCTATTGATATAAACTTTCTCTTAACACTGCTTTTGCTGCGTCCCATAAGTTTTGGTATGTTGTGCTGTTATCCTCATTTACTTCCAGAAAATTTTTGATTTCTCTTTTGATTTCTTGAATGACCCATTGTTCATTCAGGAGCATGTTGTTCAATCTCCATGTGTTTGCGTATGCTCTAGGGATTCCTGAGTTGCTAATTTCCAACTTCATTCCTTTATGGTCTGAGAAGCTGCATGGTATGATTCTAATTCTTTTGAATTTGCTGAGACTTGCTTTATGGCCTAGTATGTGGTCAATCCTAGAGAAGGTTTCATGTACTGCTGTGAAGAATGTAAATGCTTTATGTGTAGGATGAAAAGTTCTGTAGATGTCTGTTAGATCCATTTGGGCTATAGTGTCATTTAAATCTACTGTCTCCAGAATGACAGTATTTAAAATAATTATTAGAAAGTGGAATTAAAAGACAAGTTTATTTTGGTGCAGGGGCCGGTATTATAATGTAGCAGGTTAAGAAACTGCCTGCAATGCCAGCACCCCATATGAGCGCCAGTCCTACTCCTGGCTGCTCCACTTCTGATCCAGCTCCATGCTAATATTCCTGGGAAAGCAGTGGAGGATGTCCAAATTCTTGAACCTCTGCCACCCATGAGGGAGATACAGAAGGAGTTCCACGCTCCTGACTTTGGCCTGGCCTCCCCTGGCTGTTGAAGCCATTTGGAGAGTGAACCAGAGGATGGAAAATAACTGTCTCTCCTCTGTGACTTTGTTTGCTTTTCAAGAAATAAATCTTTTTTTTTTTTTTAATTTGGTACAAAAGATATTTGAAATCCGTTTTTCTCATAATATGAATTTTCCATAAACTTTTTCAAGACCCTACTTTAAAAAAATACTTATTTATTCAAAAGGTGGAGTTAGAGAGGGAGAGACATAGAGATAACGTGTATCCACTGGTTCACTCCCCAAATGTCCACAATGGCCATGTCTGAGTGAGGCAAAATTCAGGAGTTTGGAACTCCATCAGGGTCTCCCATTTAGGGGACAAGGATCCACGCACTTGGATATCTTGAAGACCCTGCTTTTTTTTTTAATTTGTTCATTTGAGAGGCAGAGTTACAGAGGGAGAGGTAGAGCAAGAGGTCTTCCAACCACTGGTTTACTCCACAAATGGCCCCAATGGCCAGAGCTGGGGCAATCCAAGCCTGGATCCAGGAGCTTCTTCCTGGCCTCCCACGTGGATGCAGGGGCCTAAGCACTTGGGCCATATTCCAGTGCTTTCCCAGACCATAGGTAGAGAGCTGGATCAGAAGAGGAGCAGCTTGGACTTGAACCGGCACCTGTATGGGATGCCAGTGCCACAGGTAGAGGTTCAGCCCACTATGCCACAGCACCAGTTCCTTGAAGACCCTTTTGATGTATGGATTTTAAAAAGTATTTTTTCATCAAAATAACCTTATCTTTTATTTGCATTTTCTTACGAACTTTTTGAAGTCCCTTCCTGTGTTGACCCCTTCTAAGGCAGTAACCCTAACGACTTAACCACTTCTAATAGATTCTACCTCTTAAAGATTCCACATTGCACACTAAGGATTAAATTTCAAACACATGAACCATTGGAGGACAAACCGACCAAACCATGGCAGGGGAAGATTGTAATATCTCTGTGTTCTTAGTTTACAATAAGAATGTATGAGTATGTGCTATTCCCTTTGTAATTAAAGTATTTAAGTATATCACAGAAATAGTAGCTGTGTGTTAATGAGATAAAGTAAATGCCACCTGATACAGTAGGCAAATATGCAATAAAATTAATTTCTCATACATATAAACACTGATTTGGGTAGGCAGGGATCTCTACTGACAGTGATTCAGGGATCCCAGCTGCTTCCAGTGTGTAGCTCGGCATGTCACAATGGACTCTCTGTGGCTCATATTCTAGTGGCAAGGACAATCACACGATCCTTCATACCTGCAGGTGGACTGGGCAGTGTGGACTTGCTATGAGCCTAGAAAGGACAGCAAGACACTGTGGATAAAAATTTCTAGTATCTCCCATAGACTGTTACATTATGGATATTCGAAAAAAGAGCAACTTTTAGAGTTTGTTGTGAAAACTACTCTTCTCATTTATTTGGGTTTCGAAGGAACCAAACCTGTCTTGAAATTCTGAAACATTTTGCCATCCTCCTCCATGATAGGTGCTTACAAATAGAGCATCAGATTGACTTTTCAAAAAAGACCTTGTAAAATCTCAGCAGGGAGGGTTCATTGGGTCTCAGTGGGTTGAGAATGTGTTCCTTTCTGTTTTTGCATGAACATAATCTTAAGACTTCTGCAAACCTCAATGTGACTGAACATGCAGGATACTTTTATACATGCCATTAGGTACAATAAGCTTTCCTTGGGGAGTAGAACACAGATAAAAGTCTTGACTGTCTTAGGTAAGGTCACCATCAGAGTATTCATTCAGGGGCTGGCCTTAAATAACATACTTCTTTACAATCCTAATGAAAATATTTGGGCTGTTTACACAGCCCTTTATTGGATTTCAGTTATATCTACCCCCCCCCAAAAAAAACTAGTATATTCCATTGCAAAATCAGAAATCAGACTTCAATTTCATATCAAAGTGCCAGTTTGAGTCCCATTCGCTCTGCTTGCAATTCTGTATCCCTGTGGATGTGCCTGAGAAGACAGTGGAGGATAACCTAAGTGATCCTAAGTGCTTGGGCCCCTGCTACTAGTGTGGGAGACCCATATGGAGTTCCTGGTTCCTGACCTCAGCCTGGTCCAGCCCTGGCTGTTGCGGCCATTTTTGGATGGAAGAGCACTCCATTCTTTCCTTCTCCCTCCTTCCCTCCCTCCATCTCTCATTCTCTCCCTCTGTCTCTCTGCCTTTCAAATAAATGAAATCTTAAAAAAGAAATAGTTATCTCTTCATATGTGGGGTAGTGATTCTAAGACTCCCTGTGGATACCAAAATCCATAGGTGCCCAAGTGCCTTATATAAAATGGTATAATACTTATGTATAACCTGTGCACCTTCTCCTATGTGCTTTAAATCACACCTATGTTTCTTATACTGCTTTGTAAATAGCTTCATTGTATTTTTATGTAATGATAATGAACAGTGTCTGCATGTGTTCAGTACAGATGTGTTTTCCCAAACAGCTTCAACCTGTTAATGTAATCATTGATATGAAATCCATTGATAAGGAGGACTAACTGTATATCCCACTGAGGGACCCATAGTTTTTCAAAATCTCAAAAAGCCTTTCTTCTTGGAATTTTCACCTTATTTTTTCAGACAAACATTTTCTCCCTCACTTTGTACAACTGATGCCCATCTTATCTCCATACCCACTCTTTTTTACTTGTCCTTTAGGTTATATGTGATATTTCAGTCTTCCTGAGAAGATCACTGCCCCTTGACTGTAAAATTCTAAGCAGGGAATGGACACTTTTTACCCTAATTTGATTTACAACAAACTGACTTTTAAAGAGCAGTTTTTCAGTTAATATGTGGGGAAGGAATGAGCCAGTGAGCATGAATTCTTTTTTTTTAACTTTTATTTAATGAATATAGATTTCCAAAGTACAGCTTATGGATTACATTGGCTCCCTCCAATAACTTCCCTCCCACCCACAACCCTCCCCTTTCCTGCTCTCTCTCCCCTTCCACTCTTATCAAGATTCATTTTCAATTTTCTTTCTATACAGAAGATCAGCTTAGTATACATTAAGTAAAGATTTCAACAGTTTGCACCTACATAGAAACACAAAGTGAAAAATACTGTTTGAGTACTCGTTATAGCATTAAATCTCAATGTACAGCACATTAAGGACAGAGATCCTACATGAGGAGTAAGTGCACAGTGACTCCTGTTGTTGACTTTACAAATTGACACTCCTGTTTATGGCATCAGTAATCTCCCTATGCTCCAGTCATGAGTTTCCAAGGCTATGGAAGCCCTCTGAGTTCACCGACTCTTATCTTATTTAGACAAGGTCATAGTCAAAGTGGAAGTTCTCTCCTCCCTTCAGAGAAAGGTACCTCCTTCTTTGAAGACCTGTTCTTTCCACTGGGATCTCACTCACAGAGATCTTTCATTTAGGTCCTTTTTTTTTGCCAGAATGTCTTGGCTTTCCATGCCTGAAATACTCCAGTGAGCATGAATTCTATTTCATAAAGATTTTATTTTTATTAAAAATTTGTAGTAAGCTAAGTAAATCTATGCAAATAGCTTTTATTATGTAGAACACCATAAAATGGATAAGGAAATCAAGAACTGAACATTTTTTACTTTTTTCCATTCTGTTTCTTCTCCAAAATTTTGCTGAAAAACCTTTCACATTTTGAAGGAAATACCTATTTCACTATTATGTTTCCTTGTTCTGGTTCACTAAATACAAAATAAAGTTTGCCAATTTGTTTTACAAACACCAAGACATCTACTGTTAATCCTTTTAGACAGCAATAAATGTGTAACATATATAATTAATAAATACAGATTCTGAAGTTACTGAAACCTTCTATTGTTAGAAATAATATCAGAAAAGAGAGAAAGCTAAAATTCAGAGATACCCTCCATACCCAGCCTGACCATCTACTACTTAAAATGTTGATGCCTCCTTCTTCCACAAAGAAAACACCTGTCCTCAGACTTCAACATTTGAAATATAGCCTAGAAAAAAAAGAAAGGTAAAGCTCCAAGTTAGCAGTATTCCACAGGAACACCAAGGTTATACACACTACTTCCTTCAGCCCCACCATGGCCCTCTACCATTAGAACATTCACTGAACTTTTTTTACTGAAAACTGAAGAACAAACCTTAGATTTCACTTAGTTGCTGAACATGGCAGAAGTACGAGCCAAGGCTGCAACTCTGGCTTTTGCTCTCTCTTCCTCTTCCCGCAAAGCCTCTTCATACCACAATGGAAAATCACTAGGGACAGCATCATGGATCTTGGCCAAAAACTCCAAGACTTTCATCTTGGTGGTTTCAGCATGGGCTCTCGGACCCCACAGGAATTCATAACGTGGAGGATCACTATTGGGCACCTGCTGACACTCTAGGTACTTTAGCTGTACTAGATCTTCATTGATGATCTTCCTAGGTTCCCCATAGATGAAGTGCCTTCTGTCAGCATACACACCCATCATATTCAACACTTCCCATATCTCCTCTTCAAGAGCACAGTTGCCTTTCATGAAGATCACACTCAGGACAATCATCAGGAGGCCAGTCTTGGGCATGCTCTCTTCACTCATCATTCCATCAGAGGTGAGGTTTAGCTTGCTAACAAGGGTATAGCAATGCATTATGGGATCTACTTCCTTTAAATCAACACCAAAGGTCAGCTCCAAGTGCTCAGAGGTTCTTTTGAGGATCTCATCAAAGTGGCCCTTGTACTTTTTGATAACATACTTTAGCATATCTGCCTTTGTAATTGGCTCTTTCTTTTGATACTTCTGCAGCAGGAACTGCACCAACAAAACCACTTTCTTGTTTAAAGGATCTTTGCGGATGCCCTCGGTACCTTGTGAGAAATTTAGGCTTTCCACGGTTGGACTTCTGACACCTTCATCAGGAGTAGCGCCTGAAAAAGCTGCAGTAGTGTTGGAGGTGTATGGGGCTCTCTGAGGTGACTGAGGAGGGCTCTCTGTCTCAGCAACAGACATGTTCTGGAGCATACCCTCAAAGAGAGAATACACAGAGTCAGCCTCTTCTGCTGCTGCAGTGGCTTGAGCACCCTCCAGACTCTGGTTCTCACTACGGGCCAGGCGGCGTTTCTCACGGGCACGGAGCTTGCTCTTCTGACCTCGAGGCATGATGAGTTTGGCCTTTTATGGCAGGAAGTAGTGCCAACAGTTTAGTTGATGAAGAGGTTACTGTAGAAGATAGATGATGCAATATTGTTAACAGGAATAAGAGATAATGTGTATGGCCTTGATAGGGATATTCTACCTTGGCCCTAAGAGTGGCTACTTCTGCTTGTTCCCTTGAAGATACTGTTTTTAGGAACCCACAAGGCAGGAGCAGAAAGGAATTCTGTTCTCTGAGAACTTGTCATGTCAGTTCTAGCTCAAGATAAAAACTTTATCCCTGACCAGTGCTTTGACTCCTCGCTCTGTTGACTTTACGTGGCCCTGTTCAGATTACAACTTTGCATTTCATATATTTGCAAGAGGAATGCTAGGATTAACTGTTGGGGGCTGTCCCAGGTTGACATTGTGGCAGGTTGGGGAAGAATAGTGTGAATATCTGTGCTGCCACTTCTGTTCTTGATAGTCCCCGTGGATATTCACCATGATACTGTGGGTACCAGAACTCTTCCCTCTGGTAACTCTCAGCTCGAGGCCTCATTCTATCCCCACTCTGGTGAGGCAGAGGAAGTCAGAGTTACCTGATTCCAAGCCCAACAGCAAAGTCAGGGTTTTATGATTCCCCCTACATTTGGAAGGTTCTCAGACAACTCAGTGTTTTCATCAGTTCTTCCCCATCCCTGAACTGAGTCAGCTAGCATCAGACCAAAGGCCTCATTTCTATCAGAGTCGCAAGTAGGAAATAAGGTGGCACCTGAGCCAGGCACACATGCCTAGAACCTCCCAAGATTGACAGGAGGGGTATGATTTTGTGGGGCCCCTCTTCTAGTGTGGATGGTACCCTCAGTACTCACACAGTATCTTACCTTGACTCCTTGTAGATGGTGAGATGGTGAACAACTTCCTCTCTGCCGACTGGAGACCAACACCTACCAGGTAAGGCACTAAATCTGTAAATAATTTAAGGAAAATAGACATCTGTACAATATTCTGTTTCCCATGAGCAAACATACTTTATTTTGGAAACCTTTTTCTTAAGTCTATCAGTAATTTTTTTATATTTGTTTCAATAAAAATTCTGTGTATTTTTGTTAACTCATTTTAAATACATTTGGATGTTTCTAATATTTTAAATGGTATATTTTATATTACATGTGTTAATTATTTGGTGTGACTAGATTACTTATTTTGCAATAATGATCTTCCCAACTATTTGAGGTTCTTTGTATATGTGAGTATTTTATGATGTCAGCACTTTTGTAATTTTTCATTAGGGGATCATGTTACTTTTTCATTTTTAATAACTTTTTATTTGGGTCCTGTTGTGTATGGCTATATACTGGCTATGCAATCTAGTCCATGTCTGACCAGCAGAATTGATACCACTCCACTTTTTCGTGCTCTGGACTTTATTGGCAATGCTTCTAACATTTCACACTTGTATATGTTGACTGCCAATTTCCTGATGTGGAAATTCCATTATAATGCAAGTTTCCCAAATGTTATTACCATGAACTACTATTGAAATTTTGACCAGAGTTTTGTTTTTTCTTTATTCCTGCATATGTTCACATACTTTATCTTTTAATTGATTGAATTCCAATTTTGTTCCTTGACCACAGCCTATTTCCCTATTTCTTCATTTCAATTATGACTTTATTAGGTATACTGGTATGCTGTAAATTAATTTAGAATATCCCTGAGTGAGCTTGGCTCAAGTGTTCTTTTCTTGGGATATCCTCATCTAGTTTTTCTATCAAGGAAAGAGAAGTCATTAACATGGTTGAGTTTTGTCCCATCTTTCTGAATGGGTTGTAAGAATTTACTTAATAATAAAAAAGAAATCTCACTGAAAATGTATTTATAAGTTGCCATAGATCTGCATTTTAAAAGTATTGAATAAAAATGGCATTTGCCAAGAAAAATAACTTATTTAATAAACCAATTATTTTTTCCTTCACCATTTGGTTTAACAGGCCTCCAAATCTGGCTAGCTCTGAAAAATTTTGTGGGTGACTAGGGCTGAACTACAGTTTCAGTTTGTAGTGTCTGACTAAAATTTTCTATTTCTTGCTGGAATTATGTAGTATTTCATATGTTTAAAACTCTAATTTACTTGGGTTTTCAAATTTAAAAGCACTATATATACATATCTACACTATCTATATGTAATAAAATCATTTTGTCATAGAAATTCTCAGTCTTTGAAACTGTGGGTAGCGGAATTGAATAATAACTCAGTGGCAGGTGTTTGGCCATGAGTTTAAGATGCCTACATCCCACACTGGAAAACATGGGTACTCCTGATTCTAGCTTCTTGCTAATGTGGACCCTAGAAGGCAATGGTGATGGTTCAAATAATTGGCCTTCTGACACCCACTTGGGAGACCTGGATTAAATTCCCAGCTCTCAGATTTGGCTGTCCCAGCACTGGCCTTTTTATGCCATTGTGGGCATTGGAGGAGTGAACTAGTGAATGGGTACATTCTCCATTCCCAGACCCCCCCCCAAATAAATAAATAATCTTTTTATATGAAAGGCAGAGTGAGAGAGAGGGAAACACGCAGAGGGAAAGAAACCTTCCACCCACTGGTTTATTCCCCATTGGCTATAGCTGTCAGGGCTGGGCCAGGTCGAAGCCAGGAGCTCAGACCTCCCTTTGGGTCTCCCACATGAGTGAGCCATCATCAGCTGCATCCCAAGTGCATTAGCAGGGAGCGGTATAGGTTCGGGACTTGAACCTACACTCTGATAAGGGATGCTGTCTTGAGCCACTGTGCTACAACACTGAACCCAATAAATAAAAATTTTAAGAATAATAACCTGATGAATGTACCTGGTGATAAGAATCATAATATTCAATAGTTATAGGATGAAGTGATGCTGTATCCTTCAATTAGGAGATGTACAGCATGTATTGTCCCCTTTGTAGTGATATTGCAATCACTCAGGATCATCACACTCTTTTATTAAGCCATTACAGGTAGCAGAATTGCAATTCTCTGGTTCTTCCATACTCTAATATTGTTATCTGTAACTTATCTATATTAGAACTTTTTGTTATCCTCCATTTGAATTTTTTTAAATACTGTGATTGATTTTTAAAATATTTACTTATATATTTACGATGGGGGAGAGAAAAAGAGGTAGTGAGAGAGAAAGATCTCATTCTCTAGTTGACTCCTCAGATGCTAGGAGCCAGGAACTCAGTCTGTGTCTCTCACACAAATGGCAGGCACCCAACCACTTGAGCCATCACCTGCTGCCTCCCAGGGTCTGCTTTGTCAGAAACTAGAATTGGGAGCACAACCAGTACTGGAACCCAAGCACTCTGATGTGAGAAACAGTTGTCTTAACTGCTAGGACAAATATCTCCCCTGATTTTTTGAGGTGATCCTTAGAATCACCCCATTTTGCTGCCTAGAGAGGTAAAGGAATGAAAACTTGTCATTGTCTTGTCAGTATCAAAAGACTCTTAGTCCTAAAATTATTTCTTGTAACTTCAAGTAATAAGAAATTCCTGCTTGAAAACTAAACTGAATATTAACTGGTTGACTAATTCATCTTTTAGTGAAGATTATTAATGAGCAATATTAGAATAATCAATATTCAGGTGTTACTCATTGTTACATATTTGTGCCTGTGGATAGTTATGATTTTTAAAAATGGAAAAAAAATTAGTGTGATTTCTTGAAAGCTACCTTTCTTTGAAAGAGGTACAATTTCTATGTTCTTTCTACATAGCTAAGCAGTTAGTATTCCAGTTGGGTTTTTGCATTTATAAAATCTAATGTAGATATACTATGTGCTACTAATGTGGTTATGATATTACCTTGTACACATGTAGACCTAAAAAATAAAATGGGGCGCTTTTCCCTCTGGATTCATAAACTTTTTCAATATAAGGATATTCTAATGGACTTTATATATAAAAACTGTATTCATTAATGTAGTGAATGCAGAAATACCTCACTTGTTTGTAAATATGCTAATATGCTGTCTTGACTTATTGATTTATTGTTTTATTTATTATGTATTATTGATTCATTATTTCTACCTTATTTTACTTTTTACTAAATTAAATATTTATGTTTTTCAATGAATATTTACTTAAGCATGTGACATTGGGACCATGTTTCAGGGTTAATAAATCTAAAAATGTAGAATATTAAATAGCAACAACATTGACCTTTGACTAAGGAATCTTATGTTATAAAGCTAGTTTTATTATCATTTAGTTGTTATAACTAATTTCAAAGCTTCTTATCAACTCTTAACTCTCCTCTGTGCTTGTCCCTCTACCCATCCTGTTCCTCACTGAGTAATGTAATTTCTTCCCAAGCAGAAGTCATCTGACAACAGCTTAGCCTTTCAGTAGTTGAAAACTAACTCACTTTTATTCTGATTCTGATGCAGTCCAACTTGGACTAATTAGAAGCCTTTAAGCCTGCTATCTCCAGTACCATCTCAGCAGTTTCAGTTGCCGTGCTGCCAATGAATGACTGAAGTTCTGATGGCTCTCTCATCCATATGCTTCAGTCTCTTGAATACTGAGATTTCTTTCAGTCCTCCCTTATCTTTAATATTGAGCTCAAGGTGAATGCCTCATTTGTCTCCTCTTAGCCCTAGCCCTGGTAAATCTTAAAAGTTTAATACTAATCCTGGTTTCACACTTTATAGAGCATTGGTACTTAATTATACTTTGATTTGTTTTAAATTTTAGGCATAAGTTCTCTGTCTACCTCTGTGATCTTGAACAATAAAGTTACCTTATATAACTCTCTATTAGATAAAATAGAAATGTAGGGAGGAAAATAATGATATTCTTTTATTAAAGATTTATTTTATTTATTTGAAAGGGAGAGCCAGAGAGAGACAGAGAAAGATCTTCCATCTGCTGGTCACTCCCCGGATGGGCACAACAATGCTGGACCAATGCTGGACCAGGCTGAAGCCAGTAATCTGGAACTACATCTGGGTCTCGCATGGTGTGGGGTGGGGGCCCAAGTACTTGGTCCATTTTCCTCTGCTTTCTCAGGTGCATTAGCAGGGAGGTGAAAAAAGAAGTGGAGCAGGTAGGACTTGAACTGGCACTCCCCTATGGGATGCTGGCATTTTAGGTTGTGTGCTGGTGGCACATCCACTGTGCTACAACATTGACCTCAAGGATACTCTTTTTACTGACTTGATAGGAGGCTTACATAAAAGTATATATGTGGAAACACTTTGTAAACTTTATAAATTACTAATTGCATGTAAATACTTGTTGGAATGAAACAGTGAGAATGTAATAAAAATGGCTATCATAATATTTGTTATGATAATGTATCAGTTTTCTATGTGTGTGTATTTTTATATATACAAAATCTCAAAGTTTGACACAGAGGAGAGAGCCCTGCTTTCTGCTGGCTCACTCCCCAGTGCTCACAAAAATTTGGCTAGGCTAGGCCAAAGCCAGAAGTCAGGAACTCAATCCAGTTCTCATGTGGGTGACAAGAACCAAACCACTGAAGCCATCACCACTGCCTCACAGGGTCTGCATTATTAGCAGGAAACTAGAATCTAGAGCCATAGACAAGTGTCAGACCCACATACTCTTACATGGTACACAGGCATCCTAACTGGCATCCTAACTGCTAAGCCAAATGCTCGACCTGGTCAATAATTCTTTTAAAGATTTATTTATTTTATTTATTTGAAAGATTTCCTTTTCATTGGTTCACTACCCAAATGGCCACAACAGTGATGGTTGAACCAGGAACTCCATCCACATCTCCCCCCTGGATGGCAGGAACTCAAGTACTTGAGTCATCATCCACTGCTTCCCAGGCACATTATCAGGGACCTGGATGAGAAGTGGAGCAACCAGACACAAAGCAGCACTACAGTATTGGATGCAGTTGTCCTAAGCAGGCAGCTTAACCTGCTGCACCATAGTGCCCCCACCCCC